CCCGGGTGGCTCTACAGGGCAGGGAGCACTCACCAGAAGGTGCGCTGCTCTTTCCGATAGTCAATATCTCTCTTCAGCTGGCAGAGAGAGCACATGGGGCAGCACAGCACCGAGCAGCAGTCACCCAGGATGGAGCCCTGATGAGAAAATGCCATCACGTGAAAAACCCCTCGTGGCTGAGCACCCATAGGGCCACCCGACACCGCTTCCCCCCCAGCCCACCACTGACCGGGATGTTGTAGCGGGTGCGGTACAGCGTCCGCATGGCCACGCTGCCGCCACACAGGCAGAACTCGTCCATGGCGTTGGCCACCTGGCAGCCCAGGCAGGGATAACAGAAGGCTCCACAGATGCCTGTGAGAAATGGAGGGAAGCCCCGAGCTCACAGTCTGACCCAGGACAGGGGGGAGCACAGCAACACTACCAACATCCCCTCAGGAGGGACGCAAGATATGGGGCTGATGCCTACTCACAGACGCCGCAGTCAGACATGCAGTCCAACATCCCCGTGTGCCACTTGCTGGGCTGTGGGGGTGCAGAGAAGCCAGGCTGGATTGTCACCACGTGACGGGTGGCCATGGTCGGCGCTTTGCACAGGGTGTCCGGGAAGGAAGGCTGGTGGGGAAGGAAGGAAGGGGTGTCCTCCCTCAGCAACTCCAGGGCAGCTTGCTTTTTTCCTCTGTCCTCCTCCCTGCCCCACACCCAGCCACCATCTCCCACACAGTACTGCTGTAGCTCCCCTGCTCCCATTCTTCCCAGCCAAGAGGCTGCAGCCTCTGCCTGACACCCACTCCTCCCTCTTTGCCAACACCCATCTGCCCCAAAACAGCTCCACTTGAGGAGCTCCACTCCTTCTTCACCCCATCTTGCTCTCTCTTCAGCTTTACAGCTGCAAGTGTTTTTCATTAAGTGATGCTAATGCCCTGCAACGTCCCATGCAAAAAGTTCCATGTGCTCTGCTTGCCCTGAATGGGGATAAAAGGCATGGCTGCTTTGTGCTCTCATCCCCAGCACAAGGGTTAGAACCCAACATTGCTGCTGCTCCTCCTACAATGCCACAACCCCACTCCCACTAGAATACCCATCACCCCTTCCCTTGCCCAGGCAGTGCTGTTTCACCCCAATGTCCCACAGTCTCACCCCAAATCCCCCTCCAGCTGCACACGCCTGTCCTGCTCCTGGCGCTGTTCTGCCCTGCCCCACTCCCCATCCCTTTTATGTACTGGGTTCTGCCAACCTTTGCTCCTCCCGGCCAATGTCCACACGCCCCGCCTGCACAACATCCCCACTGCTCCCCAGTGATGAGGAAGCCTGCTGATGTGACACAGGGTGACATGTCCACCAGTACCCCATGTGCATCCCATATCGCTTAGGAAAGGTACAATTGGGAGAACACTGGTGAAAACCCATCTGCACAAGACATAGAAGCAAGACAAACGTTGCTCTTTATTGGGGGCATGAATGAAAGGGAGACATGCAATAGTCACAGCTGGCTCCGCGCCCCTTTCCCATAAGGCAGAGGCGGTGTCATCTCTATGGCATCTGCAAGGGTAGAAGAAGAGACAGTGAGGAGGAAGAGGCAATCACATACACCCTCCCATGGCGTGAGGCACAAGGAAAGGGCACACCGACCAGAAGATGCCCATCGCTCTCCTCCGATTGATGTCCCTCTTGATCTGGCAGACGGAGCACACGAGGCAGCAGGAGGAGATGCAGCAGTCAGAGCAGATGGAGCCCTGTGAGAGAGAGGCAGGCGTTAGGAGGGGGGCTTCCCAAAAACACGTTTTGGAACCAAGAAAGCTATGCTGAGCCGGTCACTCTCCACATCTCATCTCTTTGTTGCGGATCTGACTGCAAAGCAGCGGGCTGTCCTGCCTGCAGGTGATGATAACGCAGAAAGGGAGACATGATGGCTTACCACCAGCCTTGAGAGAGCAACTTATCTTTTATTTTCTCGGTCTGAGGCAGAGGGGAAAAAGCACACACCGCGTCCTTCCACCGCCCGCACGGAGCCGATCCCCGACGGGGCGGGCAGGAAGGGTGCAGAGCGCGGCCCCTCCGCGTGGCTGTGCGAGGGGCTGAGAGACAAAAGGGGAAAAAGGGAATGGTGCCGCCCGCGCCCCACTGACCGGGATGTTGTAGCGGGTGCGGTACAGGGTCCTCATGGCTACGCTGGTTCCGCAGAGGCAGCACTCGTTCATGTCGCCGGCCACCGTGCAGGCCAAGCAGGGGAAGCAGAACAGCCCGCAGCAGCCTGCAAAGCGGGACGCACCGTCGGCGCGCGCTCTCAGCCTCCGCCGCCCGCCCGACCCCCCGGCACTCACAGACGCTCCAGTCGGTGAAACAATCCATCAGCCCCGTCTGCCACATAGGGCTGGCGCTGGTGGTCCTGGCCATCGCCTGGGGCTGCAGGGTCACCACGGTGGGGACGGCCATCGTCGAGAGCCAGGCTGCGAAAGGAGGGGGCAGCAGTCAGGAGGGCTCGTTCTCGCAGAAGCCCCGCGTCCGAGCCCAGGTGTGCCAAGCAGAGCTACTGGCACCGTGCTGGGGCACGTAGCGTTTGGAGGCGCCGGGAGCCGCTCCTCGGGGCTGCACTCACCTCGGTGCACCGACGGAGACGAGGAGGCAAGTGATGCCAGGCAGCGGGCGTTTTGCAACAAATTTGTTTCTCCCCCAATGAATGCAGAGCTCCTCCCTGTCCCGCGGGTAGACTCAGAGCCCAGAACAGAAACCGATAGTCAGCCGCGGTGCTGCCGACCCTGCACGTGGAGCCCCGACACCTGCAGCAACGGGACGAAGCTGCAAGCAAGGAGCAGCCTGCCCATAAAGCAACTTTTTAACGGCGTCCCTCGTTCCCCAAGTAGGACGTGGCAAACATTTTGCATTAAGCCATTCGCTGAGCAGGGGAAAGTAGGAAAATAGCGATTTGAAGAAGTAATTACACAAAATATTCTGTTATGCTTCCTTGCAATACTGCAGTAGTCCTTAGATGTTGTGGTTGATAGTTGTGATTTAGTATTTTAGATGGGAAGACGTTGTAAGGCAAGTCTACTTTAACAAGGCAAAAGAAACAACAACGGAATGACGTGGTGAACAGCGAGAAATTTCCCTTTGTCTTTCTTATCTGTGCGTGCAGAGACTATTCCAATAGCTCTGGCATTCCACAGCAATCTGTGGGACAAAAAGAGTGTTGGGAGGAAGTAAACGACCCCCAAGGATTAACAAATGAACCATTACAACGCTAAGTACACTAGATGACATCGAAGATTGCTACATAAGGATATATCTGTTAGGCAATCATTCGGGGTAGATAGGCTAAGAATTTGGGAATGCAGTGAATACCATAGAATTGGCAAGGTTGGAAAAGACCTACAAGATCATCCAGTCCCACTGTCCACCTATCACCACCAATAGTTCTCATTAAACCATGTCCCTCAGTACAACATCTAAATGTTCCTTGGACACCTTCATGGTTGGTGATTCCACCACCTCTCTGGGCAGCCTGACCATTCTTGCAGAGAAGTAGCATTTCCTAATGTCCAACCTGAATCTCCCCTGGTGCAATTCTCTCTCATCTTATTACATACATAATACATGTGAAAATATAACCTGCTTATGGACAATCAACTGGGGAAGCATTTTTGGAGAGTTATCTTGATGCTACCCCAGCGCTGCCAATAAAGAATACCTTGCTTAATGGTAACTAACTTTGCTGTTAAGTTCCTACTCGTCAGTTTCTTTAAATCAATACACATGTACATTCATACACATAATTTTCCCTTGCTATCCGACTCCTTCCAGGCTGGGGAGCATGCGGCAGCACCATGCTACTAACCTGTGGAGGACAGCAGGGCACAGCGGGGCAAAGGCAACACTTCTGGCAGCAGTGCTCAGAGCAGTGGGACGTGATGGCAGCAGGGCCAGGCCCTTCCTGTGTGAAACCATAGCTGCTGCTCCACCTAAAGCCAGGCACCCTGTCTTGCATCCACCTCTTCCCCCAGAGACCCAGGGTGCCTTCAGGCAGCAGGACGGGCAGGACTCATGCTGTTGTCTGCTCCCTGCATCTGGGGTGAGATTTGTCGGAGGCACTTTGAAGAAGCTTTGCCCCCATCAGCTGCTCACCAGACACTTATTTTCCACTACTGTGTGGACACTTGTGCTTTCCCTCTGCTCGTGGTCCCACCAAGCTCTGCAGTAACAAAGTGCTGTCTGTGCTGAGTGAGGTGCAGCACAGCCTTGGAGAGACGCAGCATCCAAGCAGGGACTGTTTCTAAACATCACCTCTTCTCCCACCTGTAAGCACGAGTCCTCACCCTGAGAGGATTTGTGCCCTGCTGTGCGCAAACATACACAGAGGCACACACAGCTTTGGGCATTACTTTGTTTTCCTTCACCTTGCAGTGTTAGCCATATTTTTACACTTTGCTTTTATACTTTGTGGTATCTGGACAGGTTTCCTTTGCCAGCCCTGTGCATACAGACATTTGGTGGGCAGAGGTATTGTTTTTCCTTACCAGCAACATCCTGAAAAAGAAAGGCACTGTGAAACTCACTCTCCACTGCCATTTCCTGTGTGTTTGAGGTAAGCACAGAAACACATCAAGGTGTGGAAGGAACCTTAAAGACCATCCATCTCCAAGCCACGCCATGGGCAGAGCTGCACCCACTAGCCCCAGGGCACCCCTGCTGCTGCAAGAGGAGCACGAGACTTCCATAGGTGCTACAGAATGTGAGCTTTTCTCAAACCTAGGTGGCTTAAAGACATGTTAATATGTAAGAAACCGATGAGTAACTTTTGCCATAATCCCTAAGGTACTGTTAGAAACATTAAGACGCTTACTTAAAAATACGAATTTGTGTGCTGAATCACGGCCTGAACCTCTGATTGATCACCTGAGGTGAGAAAAGAGTCAGCCAGGGGAGCACAGGTGAAGGCAATTCAGCTGTGCTGCCGAAGCCTGGCTCCACCTCTCCTAGACCCATTTAAGAGCTGACTACCCTGTGGGGGAAGGATCTCTTCTGGAGGTTCATGCTGCTGGAGTTTTACAAGTGAGCCCAGGATATGGGTAACTGTCCTCTCTTTTCTGCTTTGGTGTAATAACTATGTAGCTAAGCTCTTTGGTACGCTATAACATCTGTATATTCATTGATTGTACAGAATTACATTACTGTGTTCTTGTATTACCCCATAAGTGCTTCCTAATGAAAGTTCAATAGGAAGTTGAATGTATTCAGTTCTCTTTCTTGATATAGGTTAACTCAGCAAAGTTTTCACTGTGTTCCCTGGTGGAGATGGGTGTTGGCTCCTTGCCTTGGATGCACAATGCTTGCTTTGTCTGCTTGGTACAGGTTCTGTTTATTTCTTTGTTATCTACTTAGTAGGTACAAGGACTTTATAAGCTAATTGTTTAATGCTATGTTAGCAAAACCGGGAACAAATAGTCTTTCATTGTAGCAAGGCAAGCTATGGGAACTACCAACTTAACAAAAAAAAGTAGTCAAAGGTCAGGAAAGAGGAAGAATATGATAGATGGGAAAAATGGCCATCATGGACTATCAGAGGGCTCTATCATGCATGCCTGAACAACGGTAGTACATATTAATGAGTTCCCAAAAAATGTAAACTGCTTCTTAGGAATATAATGAATATGCATCTCCCACGTGAATAAAGCATATCTCTGACTTTGTGGGTGTGCACTTGGCTTGGTCCAAGATGCCTGGCACACTGAATAAAGAATGCCTGCCTTCTAACATCCCATTGGAATTAGAGTTTATTCCTAGGTTTCAGATGACACTCTACAAACTGCAGATTTGTCACATAATTGTTTAGAAACTTACTGTATTTCATTTTTACAACTGGAAAATCTACTTTACAATTCCTAGGTAAGGATGTCATTGGAAAAATCTGGGAAGAAAACTTTCTAACTCCAATGTGGTGTTGGAAAGCAGCATTCTCTTATTCCTCGCAATATGTACCAGGCAGCTTGACAAATCAAGCATGCACTCTTGGATTTTAGGTTATGTATTTAAACAGTTAAGACATACATATGCAGTGCATTTGCATACATATTGATTATTTTTCCAATAAGTCATTAATATATGCAGATGTCCCTCTGGAGACATGAACAGTTGGGGCCTACGATAGTTGTAGACCACTTACTACTACTTCTCTATTTCATTTTCAGCTTTATCACAGTACCATTTGGTTGTCCCACAGCTATTTTCCCCAATTTGGCGAATTCCCATTGCTTGTTATGCCATAATGAGCCACTATCTTAGTGCACTACCACTTAAACCAATTTAAATGAAACCCAAGAAAAAGTCTTTGCACCTGGTGGTTTAGGTAGAAGAAGACAAAAGTAATCTATTCTGGCTTCAGTGAAGGGGGATTGTTCAGAAAAACAAGACTGTTCCCATACCTAGCAAAAGCTAAACTTAAAAGTTTTGCAACTAGCACACATAAATTCCCTTTTGCTAAACTAATCTACTGCTCCCTATTGCTAAACCAGCCTGTATCAAGGATCAAGAAAACTCCCCTCAGCTGACACAGTTCTGGTTCCTGAACTTCTCACTTCTTCCAACTTTTGGTGCAGTCAGGCCAAACAACCCATTGTGATTTGTTCAGAAGGTATTTGATGTCACCAGGTGTTGTGGTTTAACCTAGCAGGTGGCTTTACCTGTGTGGTTTAGTTGTTGGCTCATCCCTTCCCAGTGACATGGGGGAGAAAACTGGGGAAAACAAAGTAGAACTTGTGTGTTGAGATAAACTACTTAAGATAAAGGAAAAGGATAATACTTATGAGTGGGTGTATGTAATGTGAATGCATTAACGAGTGATGCAAAAGCAGTTGCTCACCAGCGCCCCGCTTGCCTCTTTCAAAACTCTCCTTCCATGTAATGTCACATGCTATGGAATATCCCTTTAGCTAGTTTAAGTCAGCTGTCCTAATTCTGTTCCCTCCCAGCTCCCGGGGCTCTTTGCTGTGAATGGCCTTGGCTCTATACAGCACTGCTTAGCAGCAACTATTAACATTTACTACATTTACATATTAACTATTATCAGTGTGTTATCAACACTGCTTTTCTCCTAGAACCAAACATAGCATCATACCAGACAGTGAAGAAAACAATTCCTTCTCAGCTAAAACTAAGATACCAGGGTAGACAAGTGCATGTGCACCACCCACCAGCAGGTGAACAGAGGTCAGCTCTGGCATTTTAGGTTCCTGGAACAGGTGTGTCTGTTGCTCTCTCCACAGCAAGTCCCACAGTGCAGGCGCTGGTAGACAAAGAAAAGGGCAACCAGCATGCCAACTGCATAGCCAGCCAACCACAAAGCAGTGGAAACCTAGGAACGGTTTGGAGCCCTGCAGTTTTAACCTGCTGTTGCTATTCTCACTTTTCATGGGCCTCCTCCTACAAATAAGTTCCTTCCTCTAGTGTAGAAATACAAGAAAGCAGAAGGTAAACAACTGGAATTAAAAGGAGGAAATAAGATTCAATTCTCAAGTCGAGTGGGTAGCTTAGCGCCAACCACTACTTACGTACACTTGGCTGGTGTTAGCTGCTGATTGTTAAGTTGGTAGTCCACATTCAAAACATGGAATCACAGAATGGTTAGATTGGAAGGGAACCTTAAAGCCTACCCACCCCAACCTCCTGCTGTGGGCTGGTTGCTCTCACTGGCTCAGGCTGCCCAGGGCCCTGTCCAACCTGACCTTGAGCACCTCCAGGGATGGGGCATCCTGGGCAGCAGTGCAAGGGCCTCACTACCCTCTGAGTAAATAATTTCTTGCTAACATCTAACCCAAATCTTCCCCCCTTTAGTTTAAAGACCATTCTCCCTTCTACTGTCATTATAGAACTGTGTAAAAAAATTTTGTTTCCTTCCAGCTTATAAACTTCTTGTCAATTACTGGAGAAGACCACAAAGAAGTCTCCCCAGAGCTTTTAAAGCTAAACAAACACAATTCTCTCAACCTTTCTTCGTAGGAGAGGTGCTCCAGCCCTCTGAGCATCTTCATAGCCCTTCTCTGGACCTGCTCCAATAGCTCTGCATCCTTCTTGTGCTAGAGGCCTAGGGCTGTATGCAGTGTTCTGAACAAAAATTACTCTAAAATACTTTACACAACAAGCTCCAACTTGGGATGTAAATTCTTGTGAAATAAACCATAACACCAAACACGCAGACAGATTTTATTTACATACTGGAATTGCTTTGCATTTTCCCATGTTCTGCCACTGAGACATCAGTCTTGTTCTGTACAAACTGCTGGGCTCATAGTCTGGAGAGCAGGCCAGGAGTTCCCTTGTATTACATAGGACAAACTGAACAGCCTCACTACTAGGGAGGTTGAAGTCATTCAGGAGTAGTCACAGCTTACATTGTAAGATGGTTTCATGTGCTTGGTTTTGTTGGTTTTATTTGTTTTTAGAAAAAAAAAGTTCATCAGATTTCTATAAATAAATAGAACCAGAAATAATCTGGAGTTAAAAATGCTCCACTCCATCTTAGATGATGGCATCTTATATTAATTTTAGCCAGATTAAAACATCAATATCTATAATAATTTCAACTACCTGCTTTCTAAAGGCTCTTCTACAGTTTTGGAGTTTTTCGTTTTCCAGAGATTTCCAAGCATGATCCCTATGAAGAGCAGAACTCCTACAGTACGATTTGAAGCGAATTTCTTCCAACAGTCTTCAGGCTTATCTATATCCAAAGTGTAAATCTGCAAAAGCACAGTATAAACATCCCACTGTTAGCATTATATTGACATACAAAGGTTTGATATATCACAGTCACAGGAAGATCCATAAACTCAAAACCTCTCAGGTTCTAAACCTACCCTGAACCCCAAAAGAAACAGGAATGCTCTGTGCTTGCAGAGGATGGGATTACTTGGACTCTCTCAATGAATCACAGTACAAGCAGTCTAGATACACCTGTGTGCAGTTTGATAATAAAATCTGTAAAAATGTCTGAGCAGGTAAAGAAGCCTTTGGAGATTTTCCTCAGCAGGAAGGAAGCTAATTCTTCAACAGAAACTTTAAGAAGGAAAACAGCAGTTTCCCTGCTCACACCCTGTGCTATGGTAGAAACAAGGTAGGAGAGGGAAAGCTGTGGAGCTCCTGTCCTGCCTGTCCTGCCCAGCCACACCATACGCTACAACTGGCTAATGCTTAGCTGCTTCTCACTTTTTACCTATGTGCCCCTTGCAAAGAGGAACTAGGACACCTGCTCGCAGCAAGACTTGCGCAGCTTGGCAGCTGTTCACAGCTTGAGATGAAAAAAACCACACAGTGCAGCAAGAGCAAAGTTATTGAAAAACAAGAGCTAGAAATGAAACTCGATACAGAAGTTTTTCAGGAAGAATGATGAGAGTAAAGCTTAAACAACAAAAGTGAAAGCATGCCATAGAGACACCTCCCAAAACCTCAAGTCCTGCAATTCACCCCTGCACTACCCAAGAAGTCATGAGAGAGCACATCCAACTGAAAGAAATAAAAGCCTCCCTAGCAAACCCATTCCTCTGCTGTCTGCACTTGGGCAAAGATGAGGTTCTCATCAAACTATCTGAAATGCTGCCTGCACCTCTGAATCCCATGTTATTCACACCTTTAAAGCCTGTCAGCACCTTGAGCTCAGAGAAATGAAAACACAAGAAGGCTAAGTGAAACCCAACAGCAGCCAAGCTGTAAGATGTACCTTCAGAAACACAATGCAAATTAGACATCTCAGTCTTCTTCAGCAGCACAGAAATTTGATAACAGCGTGACCCAAACTCCTCTCTCAGGCACAAATTCAGTAACTTAAGGAAAACCTATCCCTTACACGGCTTATTAGGCTCTCTAAACTCTGTTAGGCAAGCGTTTGGAAGTCTTGAACAACGTGAAAATTTAGGCAGAACTAATACTAGAATAGTCCTTAGGAGGGCTACTAAGATGATCAGAGGGCTGGAGCACCTCTCCTACAAAGAAAGGTTGAGGGAACTGGGCTTGTTTAGCTTGGAAAGAGAAGGCTCCAGGGAGACCTCATTGTGGCCTTTCAGTACTTGAACAGAGCATATAAACAGGAGGGGGAATGGCTGTTTACAAGGATGGACAGTGATAGGACAAGGGGGAATGGTTCTAAACTGAGACAGGGAAGGTTTAGGTTAGATATTAGGAAGAAGTTTTTCACTCAGGGGGTGGTGACACACTGGAACAGGTTGCCCAAGGAGGTTGTGGATGCCCCATCCCTGGAGGCATTCAAGGTCAGGCTGGATGTGGGTCTGAGCAGCCTGGTCTGCTGGTTGGCGACCCTGTCCATGGCAGGGGGGTGAAATTCGATGATCATTGTGGTCCTTTTCAACCCAGGCCTTTCTATGATGAAAAGCTACTTTGTGGCATGCTTGTATGGCTTAGCTATTGTCTTTGCCCCTTGCATCCTGCACCTTCACCAATAAAATCCACTCTGCAGGAAGGTAATTTTCACTTGTGCCACAACTAGCAATGTGAGGCCACTCTGCAGTGAAAAGTGGAATGCTTTCCTCCATGAATTTCCACAATACCTACAGAAAGCAGTTGTTGACAGGTAACAGACCACAGTATTGCAGGAGTTTTATAACCCACAAATATGTTTAGTACCTATGAGCTGCATGAACTTTCCTGCTAAAGAGTCACTTACATATAATGGGCCCTAAAACAGCAAGTTTCATATTAATTCCATTCTTCCCCTCTCAGATTGTTGACAGTATTACTGCTATGTTACTACCACTCACCTGCAAAGGCCAGCAATTACTTTTCCTAAGGACTAACTTGCCACAAGACTGGAGAATGCAGTCATTTGGATAACAAGATCCTATCTGCCTCCTTCATGGGCAGGTTCAATTTTCTTTTTTTTTCCTGTTATACATTAAAATTTGTAACCCTGTGCAAGCACAAGAACTTTACTATACTATTTTTCTGCTATAAAAACAACAGTGAATTAGAACTGTCAGATATCAAGAAATTATAGTATTGACATTTGCTACTGAAGGTAGTGAGGAGAAAACCGTAGATACATGATACTGAGGTAGATCTAACTGCAGCTGCTATCAGAAGCAGGAAGACATCACAGCTTAAGGTGAGGCAGAAATTATTAGAAACAGATTGAAAATGAGTGCTCTACAGCCTACGGACCACTGGAGGTCACTTCAAAAGAGAGGTCTGTAGAAGTTACTTATGAGAAGCAAGCTTTTGTCAAAAGATTTAAATTATTTTTACACAGGTATTTACAAGACGATTGTTTTTTGTGTACTTGATAAATTGCCAGAGGTTGAAAAGCACTCTGATTCCTTATCAAGAACATCCACGAACAGAAAGTAGAAACGAATCCATCTAACCTGATGTGCTAGGTGAGCACCTACAGCAGCCACTGCTGAGTAATAGGGGAAAGTCTGGTCACAGTTCATTCCTGCCACACACAAACCCGAGACCATTGCTGTGCTGAAGCCGCTGAGCCACTGTTTTGTATCTTCCTTGAATTTCAATGCTGTGGACTTAACACCAATAATGATGTCGTCCCTCTTATCCTAGAATGAAAGGGTCAATTAATAGAACATCTATAATCTAACTGTCACTTCATAAGAAAAGTAAAATGGGGAGCCTTTGTAAAGCCTCCAACTGTTGTTAATAGGAACCCTATTTAAGTGAATTTGTAGGTCCCCAAATTAAAATTCCAATTAAAAGGTAGGTCCTTAGAGCTGGGGTAGCAGCCAATAGCTAATACCAGCTGCACATTTATTTACGCAGTACAGACATGGGGGCATGAAAATCACTTTACACTTCCCACTTTTCATCTGCTATGTAAAACATTAGCAAAAAGCAATAAAAGGTCCAAGGGCTGGGCTTCCTTTGGTGGTCATCTGAGGGTGAAGAATCGCAGCAGGTTAGTATAACGACTTGAAACCAAGGCTGTATATTAAGCAAACAAACACACACACAGCTGTAAAGTTTATCACTGCTGCTCTACCTGGTGAGCATATATGGTGTCGTAGACCAGGGTCCACATGACTCCAGCAAAGTATAAGGGCAGGCACACAGACCAGTCGCAGGACCCCTGGATGGCAGACCAGCCAAGGAGGGCTCCCCAGTTAAACGTAAGTCCTAAAGAGAACCAAAGGAAAAAAAGTTAAAAAGGTGCCAGGAGCAGTCTGAATTACATATATACAATTCACTATCATTTGCTCAAGCATATGGTGTGTCTGCAGCTTTTTCTACAATACTGGTATCTCTATTTTCTAGCTCATAGCTTCAGTCAGGTTAAGTAATAGACATAATTTGAAATTAAATACTACGGAGATATAAGGAGAAATATGCACAGCTACATACTCTCCCCCCGTTTAAATTTGATTTTGTTATCCGAAGGAAGCATTTGCTCAAAATTATTCCACTGCACTGACATCAATGCACTTCAGTGTCTGTAAAATTGACTACAAAAGAGTTCACAGCAGCCAAGCATGGCACTTCCAGGCTGAAAAAGGCAATTCTGGCTGATAAAGCTGAGGGCAGCTGGAGTGAAGAGGCCAAGGTACACGGAGATGTGTTAGTGGCACACTCTGAAATGGAAGCGTCATCATCTTCAGTACAGGACTTGATGTAGAGGCTGAAGACTGAACAAATGTATTTTTAAGAAAGGTTTAAAGACAACCCTTAAAGTAGAGCTGTTTCTCAAGTGCAAAACATTCATTCTCTCTCTCAACACTACAACAGACAGGACTGTTCATGAATAAAAAAATGAGACAGAACACAGCTCCTGTATGTGTTATAAATTGCTTAAGAAGCTTCTGGAACAGCAGAATGTTGTCTGCAAGGTAATCTGATTTTAACACATAGTTGCATAAAACCAGATTGCTGAAGCTCAATTACTAACTAATTGGGGGAACTCCCCAAAAGCTAGATCAGAAGGAGGGAACTGAAACCGTTTCCAACTCACCCAGAACTAACTGGGGCCAATATGTTATTCTCTTCATCAGAGGGTAGGTGACCACAAGAGACAAGGAGGCTGCTCCCAGGATGATACTGTAAAAAGTACAAAGCAACTTTATTGCTTGCTGGTCTAAAGATCCCAAGACATTGCACGTGCTGAACTACTGAACTACAAGTACTGAACTACTTCCATGACTTCAACCCCTCTGACCCCAGCACATTTGCTGTTCACAATTTGCATCCTTAACAAGGACAAAGAAGGAAACTAAGCAACAGAAGATAACTTGTCTGCCACCTGTAGTAATTCAGACACAGGAGCACACAGAGAGCCAGGCTGAGCTGTCCACCAAGGAAAACAAAGGACTGAAAAGTGGAGATTTCTCCAGTTGACAGGGGTCTTCCTGCTGTCCTTGCAACCTAAACATGGAAAGAATCACGTTAATACACAACTCAACATATTCTGAAGCCAACTTCCTTCAGCATACTAAATAGGTATCATGTGTTTTGCACATGCCTTAACAATGTGAACTTAAATATGCCCCCTTAATTTGTTTTTCCTCTATTCCTAAATAACTTCTGCTAAAACTTCAAATACTGTTTTTGCAGTTTAAATACATGCTTTACACTGCTGTGACCAACACTATTGCACATCAAAACTAGGACATGACATGATCCATTTAAAGAAAAAAATAAAATACACATCTATCAAAAAATCACTAATATCAAAACCAAATCTCAAACCATGACTAGCAGCACAAACCAATCCTGCTACTGACTCAGCCTGCAGCACGTTTGTTCTGCAGGCTGCCTTTTGAAGTATATAAGAAAGACCTGCTATGGGAACATTTGAGCCTTTACATTTAACCACATCAAATTAATGCATAAATATACGAATTACGATATCAAGTCCAGCATACTGATTGCACACCCTGGGAAATCTTCTTGGCATATGGAGCTGTTAATAATCTCTGAACCCTAAACCAGCCAAAGATGCCCCAAAACCTTTATTGAGTCATTACTTCCCCAGTAGGATAGATAGAACAGTGCTGGAAGGAAAACCTCACAGTGGCCAATATTCAAAATCCCAGGGCAAACCTAGGATCAGAGAAGAAAATAAACCAATAGTGAGGTTTTACCAGGATACTCCCTTCCACCATGCATGTACATGTCAGCACCTGGCACTGCCTTTTGTTAATTTCTCTCTAGTGAACAAAAGGGAGGAAGAAACATATCATAGCAGAGAGGATAAGTTCATACTTGGGCATGATTCTCTCAGCAGTCATTCTCTAGAGGAAATTAACGATAATCAAATAAATACTTATATATTTTTAAAAGGATGGAATCATACAATCAGAGGTTTGTCGAATGGTTGGGTTGGAAGGAACCTTAAAGCCCACCCAATGCAAACTCCTGCTGTGGGCTGCTTGTTCTCCACCAGCTCAGGCTGCCAAGGGCCCCATCCAACCAGGCCTCGAGCACCTGCAAGGATGCAGCATCCACAGCCTCTCTGGGCAGCAGTGCCAGGGCCTCACCACCCTCTGAGTAGATTGCTGCAGTCCTATGCAGTAGCATTATACAAAACAAAATTATTTCCAGGACCCTAGGAAGAAACACAGACAAATGAATTGCATGCATGCTGGAAAAAGGGACGGGGGAGGAAAATCTCCACCTGTTTGTCATAGTCACGGTCCCACAGGTCATTGATGGTGCAGCCAGCCCCACGCATGAGGACCGCCCCGGCGCCAAACAGGGACAGCATGTGCCAGTCAGGTAGGCAGCCCGGCTCTGCCGCCAGCCCGATGCTCCAGGTGCACGGCAGGTACAGCAGCCACGTCCCTGCGGGCAGAACGAAGTCAGAACGGGCAAGGAGAGAAAGAGAGCATCACCGAGCAGGCTCACGCCTCAGCACGTCTCAGCGCCCTGGCAACAGCGTTTCCCGCCACCGCCGGGGATGCCACGCGAGTGGCCATGGTTACCGCATCCTTAGCATACCGCGCCCCCCGCGTCGCTACGCCCGCCGTGTTGCCATGGTGACGGCGCCCCCGCCCTCCATTGGCCACCGCGTCGCTGTGGCTACCACATGACGCAAGCCCCGCCTAGCGCACGTACCGGCGGGCTGATGCAGGCGCATCAAGTGTAGATAGGGCCGCAGCGGACGCGGTGCGGCCCGCACCAGCTCGGCCGCCGAGAAACTGAGGGTCCGCGGAGGATCCGGGGGGGCGGCCGGGCAGCGGAGCGGCAGGGCGGCGGTGGCGGCCAGGGTAGGACGCGCGGCGTGGAAGCGGTAGGAAGCCCGGCTGAATCTCGCCAATAGCGCCGCCATCTTTCCGTCGCCAGACGCGCTTCCGCGTCTTCCGGCGGGGCGATGTGGCACGGCACGCCGCATGCGCGGTGCCGTCTGTCCGCCGCGGGGCCGCCACAGTAGGGGTGGCGTATGGACGGTTGGCAGGTGTTACCGGCTTTTGGCAACTGTTACTGGCTCTTTTCGGTGACAGGAGTGACACCGAAAGCTGGCAATCAATAGGAGACGGCCAGCAGCCCTTGACTGTGTGGGGGCCTTCCCTGACACTGGCTCTGAGCAGCAGTTGCTCCGCCTGAAGGAGCCAAGTGACAACACGTTGTAGTCTCTCGACTACTATAGTGCAGCATCTCACTACAAGCCCGTCTGCTTTGGCTACAGAATTTGCCCGAAGTGTTTAATGCATGCAATTTCCTTCAGGTTACTAGCATGCAAAGACATAGGTACCCACGCAGCAGTGTATGTCTCGTTTTCCAGACCATAAACACGAAACATTCACAGTTTTGCAAAAGGCTTCCAGATCTGCAGCCTCATCTCCTTGGTTCTGTTACTTAATTGCAAATAAAGCATAAACTGGGGACGTGAGCTTTGGATAGAGCTGTAAAAGTTAATCTGGTGAGTGTGATGTGGGCAATAAAAACTTTCCTGAGCTACCATTGAGGGGTTCTTAGAAAACAGTTTCCCTATCATACTTCCTTCAGCGCTGTGAGCTGTTGCACGGATAAAAACCAAGAGAAACAGTTTTAGTTCCACAAATTGCTGACTGCCAGGAGGAAGTAGAAAACCATTGTAATAACGAAGTGACTTTCACATGTTTCCAGTCACCATTCTGATAAGTGGCACTCCACAGCTGTAAATCAATGTGCAAGGGATACCCCTGCTCTGGCTGAGTAAAACTCAGAAATTTTTATTTCTTTTTTTCCATTTTAGTCATGTTTCATGACAAGAACAGTCACCCCAGGCTTAATTCAGATCTAGGAAACCTCCAGGAAAGCTTCACTGCTGTTTATCTATGCTGGAGGAAACCATCCTGCATCCTGACCTGTACTGTCAGACACAGCTCACTGTCTTGTTAAGTTTTATTCCATTTGCTGTTACAATGACAGGGTTTCTGGTCATATCCTCTGAAATAAGCAATGAGCAAACTCCAGGGCTTCTGCAGGCTACATTTAAGAAGTTTGGGAAAACAAGCTAGAAAAGTTTTTTTTATCAGTGGATTTCTATTCCTTGTAAAGTACCCTAGCCCTTCATAAGCAATATCTAGGGAATGAAAGATTTCAGATGTTAAATAAATCATCTAATGTCTTTAACGTCCCACTGCCATCTTCCTCTCACAATTGCCAAATTGTTCCCCAATCTCAGAAGATTCCCCTTTCCCTGTTTTCATGTGACTGATATTACTCCACCTTCCATAAACTGATCTACAGTAAACCAAGTGTGAGCAATGCCATTTCCTGTGTCAGAAATGAAAACGAATGTAGGAATGCAGGTTGTGGTCAGAGATCAAGGTGTGGCATAATGTGCAGATGTGAGTCTCCAGCACAATGGTGGAGGCTGCAGAGCCAGCGCTGCTGCCTGCAGGTAATAACCACCCCCAACTGGGCAGAGTTTCTAGGAAAATTGCCAAAAGTTAATATAAATCACTTTTTTAAAGTCCAATATCGAAGTCACAAGCATCGAAACAAATCTGTTTAGAAAGGTTTAAAACTACCAGTCAACCTTCAGCTTTTATGTCTAAATTTTAGCTTATATTGTTATATTATTGTAATAACAATAATACACTAACAACTTTATATTGACAACTTTGCGCTTCCTATCTGTGTTTTGGATATGTATCACCTCCTGGTGTATAAGCCTTCACACAAGGCACATACGCTGCATGGGCAAACACTCCTTTCACACTCTGCATTAAAATATAAATTTTATTGTGCCTTTTTGATCACAGTTCCAAAGAACATCAACTTGCTTGCTGCTGTAAAGCCTTCATGCGAACTACAAGCCACTCCTCTGCCTTGAAACCACACTAAGCCAGTAGCATCATTTTAAAGCTCAAAGAAGGGAAGTACGATGCATGTTAGTTTTCTCCCTGCTGTGTTCTGAACATTGTAAGGCGCTGCTGGTGGTGTGAGTTGCATACTTCCAAGAGAACCAGCTGCACTGGTGGGAACTCACCTTATACAGGTGGAAAAAGCTGCTGTGAGGCAATTTTGTCCCAAATGGGCTGCTTCCCCAGAAGGAATGCAAGCCCCTCAAGTATTGCTCTTAGGATGCCGAAGCCTTTCTGGTGACCTGGCTTTCTCTAGCCTGTGACCACAATCTCCCTACTTGGCAAAAACAAGTGGCACCGCATGGTGAGCCCTGTTACTGTGCGTGCTCAAATGCAAGCAATAGCCTTAGCGTTCCTGATCACGTAGAAACCGTAAGAGAAGGCTGGCAGGCCGAGCACACTGCCAGGGGCAAGGGCCATCTCGTGCAGTGCGGGGAGTGTCTCATCGTCCACCATCCGCAGTAGGCGGCCATTCAGCTGCACCTCTCTGCCAAGGCATGATGGGATACTGCAGGCATCATCTCTGGCTCTGGGTGTGAGCAAGGGCACCCAGAGCAGCACGACAAACAGCCCCCAAATGAGCAAGGTTTCTGAGTCTGCCTACACGCTGCTCAGTCCTTGCTCCAAAAGGAAGAGGTATGGGCTCACCTGGACAGGATGCTGTCCTTGCCGTGAGGCAGCAGCAGGTACTGATCCACGCTCTTACTCCACAACTGCTTAGGCAGTTGCAAGCGCTGGGTCACGTTATAGAGGTTCAAGGCAAACAGTGTTACATCCCCTTCTCGGTATCTGGGGCTGTGTGAGAGAGATAATGAGTTTGGTAGAAACAACAGACACCCACACACTTCCTCTTTCCTCTGGCTGTAGTGTTGCCACCATGTGGGCAATTGCTGCTTACTGCTGGGGGTTGGTGCAGTGCAGGTAGACCCGCAGGCGCCGTGCATCCGCTTGCTCCACGCTGGCCTCCAGTACCCGGGTGCCCACCAGTTTCTTATATAGCAGTGACAGCCAATAGTCCTGGGGGAATGGGATTCATCTCCACCAAGCACTCATTTTTTTGAAGCAACTCCACTTTCTGTCCCCATAGCTTTTCATGTCACCTAGATTTTGGCAATGCTATGCTCCTTCTGCAGGGCACTGTGGAGCTGGCAGGGAACCCATAGGGGACGCACTACTCTCCATGCAGGAAAACCCCATGCCCGATTTATGGGCACGACATCAGGGTGAAATACCCAGGGATTTTGGCAGCCTGGTGACATGGTGTTTCCCAGCAGGTCATCTACGCACCGGCAAGGGCTTGAAGCTGCTGTCCACCAGGTGATAGCTGCCAGCACCAAAGAAGACCTGCCTCATCACCACGTCAATGCCACGTTGAGCTGCCAGCCCCAGCTTGTCCAGCCACCTGCCGGGAACCGGCCACAGGTCACACTGGGGCTCAGCATGAGAGCAGCTCCTGTGCTCCCAGTGCCACTCACATGAAGCCGGCCACATATGTGTTGGATAGCTGGGGGGCTCCCCCGCCATACGCTGAGCTGGTCTCACCCAGCCATACCTTCTTACCGGGAACTGTTGCTTCCACAATCTATGTGGAGAGGGAAAGGAAATAGGAGATAGGTCAAGCTTTGTCTGCTGAAGTTACTGCAACCACCTATGCCCATTGCACTTATTATTACTTTTGCTAAAATTAAGGATTTTTACACTGTCAGCAGCAGCTGAGTTTGAAGGATGCTTATTAATTGTTGCACAGCAGAGCAGTCTCTGTGCAAAGCCACATGGGGAGGATTAAAGAAGAGCAGGCACCTCCAGGACATTGCGTACGGCTGTGGCAAAGGAATCCAGCACATCAGGGCTCAGGAAATCCTCCCTTGTTGCACTTCGGCCATTCACGTAGTAGCTGGAAATGGAAAAAAAAAAACAAACAACAACAGCTGAAATGAAGGAAAAATATCAACATTGGTACCTGCTCTCACTCAAGCTCAGTCTAAATGTCCCTGCACCAGCTGGGAAGCTGCTGAGCATTTGTTCTAATGGACAGAGCCACTGCTTGTCTTTGCAACCATGCTGCATCCATCTGGTTTGTGCTGAGCCACATCCCTTCCCAGTCACATATCTTCCTGTGGCTGGAGGACTTGGTGCAAGCCCCAGTTGTGGGTGGAGATGTTCTGCAGGTGGACCAAGGATACTGTTGTTCCCCACCAAAGTATAGCATATGCCAAAAAGCTGCGCAGCTCTCCGTGCAAGAGGGAGAGATACAATGCAGCTCCTGCATTGCAAGTGAGAGCTGCTGTGCTCTCACTTCTCTGCACATCACTTCTCTTTTTATTGATAAAACATGTTTTGTAATCAAAATGACCTTGCACGCACCGCATTCCCTGCTGCTATGTCTATGCAACTCCTGGAATAGATTTTGGGTCTTCTTTGAATACTCTGCTATTTAGAGCAAAGCACAATACAGAGGCATTTGGGACCTGCCAACAGAGTTGTTTCACCTCTTCCTTTCCACTAGCATATGTGAATTGACATTTCTTAAAAAAGAAATAAGAGCCAATAAGCAGAGCAGCGATAGCAGCTGAGGGTACTCACTGGTGCCAGGTGACAGAGTCAATCGCCTTCCCTCCGGATTTCAGGAAGCTGCAGTCAAACAAGGGTTATAGCAGGTACTGGTGACATGCTGCAGCATCCACCCTACGTCCCTGCATGCCGTGGTTCCCAGATCACATCATTGCTACCCTCCCAATGGTGTCACACGGGCCCTGGACACCCTGTCTACCTTCTGAGCAGGTGCTGGGTGTGCTTGCGGGGCTGCCCCACGTCGGGGCCATACAGCTCAGCGTGTCGGTACAGGGGGTGCTGGCTCAGGAGCTGCCGCAGGTGGATGAAATCGCGTCCCAACTGGAAGCCATCGATGTAGATGCCTGACTTCTTCCTGAAGCTGTTGGGCTCTGGGGAAGAGGTGCCCATCAGTACCGCTCTGTGCACAGGGCTCATCCCCAGCCAAAGTGGGAATGCTTACCATTGCCCAGCTCCCAGGAGATGTTGTAGCTGCGCTGTGCGCAGTAGCCCAGCAGCTGCTTGGCGTTGGAGCTGTCCCACTGCAGGCCGGCCCTGCGCAGCAGTGCGTTCAGTCCAAACACCAGGCGGAAGCCTGAGCAGCTGGCAAATGTGTGGAGGATGTCCAGTGTGTTTCCTGCATGGAGCAGAAGATGGCTTCATCCTGATGTCTCAGCATGGAGCTGGGAACTGCGGACTGCAACCTGCTGGTTATAAACCCTACTGGGAAAATCCATCAAAAACTTACTTGTAATGGTGGTGTTTTTGTGCTTTTTCCAGGAATGTTCAGCGAGGAGCAGTTTCTCCTGGAGGGGCCACTGAGTGAGCAACAGCTCTGGAACCATAGCAGAGCTGGGCCATGATCTGCACACATCTGCAGGGCAGAAGAAGGGTGGGAGAAACCAAGCTGCCATCACCATATCAGGCAACACACAAAGGGTCATACTCATCACAAAGAAATGGGAGAGGTGTGTGTGGGGCTGAGCACTAGACATCCATTTCTGCGCAGCACAGGATCAAATCCCTCTTACCACTCTCGGCCTGAAGTTCTGATAGGACTTTCTCTTCCCAAGTTGAATCTTGTTTGGGATTGAAGATCAGGAAATCTGTACTAGTGCCTCCAAACCTCAGGAAGCCTGGGGAGAGCCCACTGGCCAGAGTGTGCAGCTTGGGGTGTCTGTGGAAGGTAAATTAAATGTCAGGGTAATCTGCCACATGGAAACAAAGCATCAGCAGCATTCAGAGACACCTTGCAGCAGAGGATCTGAGCCACCCAAGTGTGGGCTTCAAGCTGGCTTTACACCATTTCTCCCTTTTTCCATGGACAACCACCAAACGGATAGATTTTGTACCAAAACCAGAGCGTGTGTGGAACGAGTGTTCAAAGTAAAGCAGATGCAGTTCCAGTGCTATCTGGGATGGCAGCAGCCCTATCTCACTCTGTGGGGACACCCAGCAGATACGAGGCCACCAAGCACTTCCTGATGTCATCACAGCAGCCAGAGCTGCCTGCCTTCAGATAAAGCTGATGCTGCCTTACAGTTTCAGAGCAATGGGGCAGGGCTAGAATTTGGGATTGGGTGGGTGAAAAGGAAAGAAATTAAATGACTTTGGGAAAAACAAACAAACAAACCCACAAAAAGCTGAATCTAAAAGAGAAGAAAACAAAGAAATAGAGCTGAAAGAAGAGTCCAGGAGCCCATCGCCTGGAAGCCCTGAGCTGGGATTTGCTCACAATCAGAAAAGGCTTTGATTTTAGCAGCTACTTGTTCACCTCCACGCACATCAGAACTTCTCTGGCTCACAGCATCCAGAGTCTCACTAAGCATCCACAGAGCAGCACCAAGGCTCAGCCTGCTTCTGTCCCAGCCAGAAGCATCATCCACTGCCAGCATCACACACCAGGCATCCTCTCACCCGCTCACCCAGGAGTGGAGCAGCTGCAGGGCTCACCTGAGCAGGGCAACAAAGCGCGGGTCACGGGCCAAGCTGGCGTCCAGTGTAAGAGAGAGGAAGGCTGGGCTTACCGCCCCAATGGGTTCCCGCAGCCTCAGCTGCAGCTCTGCCGTCTGCCTCGGCGGCACAGCCAGCAGCAGCAGCAGCAGCAGCAGCACCAGCATCCTTCCTTCTTCTTCTCATTTTCCTCCTCCTCCGGGCCGCTCCGCCGCCCCAGCACCACCCCTGGAGGGCGGGCAGCCCCAGCACCGCCCCGCAGCCACCCGCTCCCAGTTTTCCTGATATGAAATCACCCTCCGCCAGAGCGAGACCAACCAGATCGCATCAGCGCTGCCGTTCGTAAACACACCCACGGTTCTGCCGGAGCGGAAGCATCAGCGACACTCCTCTTGGCATCACGATCAGCAGGATGCTTCCAATTTTGGGCTATGGCACGCATCTACCCTTTGCGGGGTGAGTTGCAGTAAGTCCTGCATCCATCCGTGGGTTTCGCAGCAGCCACCCAGCCCTGCGACTGGGATGTAGATCCGGTGATCCATGCTACATTTGGGATGCAATCCACAGAGAGCGGATCGTGGCAACGATGGGTCCGGTGCTTGCTGGCCCTTGGGGAGCCTGCTGCCCCTTGCAGCTGCAAAGTAACACTACAGGTGTTACACAACAATTAGCATTACTTGTTAGGGTGTTGTCCACATGGCATTAAGCACGTTTTAAAATCCTGCACAGAAAGGGAGATGAATACAGAAGTATTTGTCACTCATCGAAGTACAAGCAAAGTGCTTTACTGGGAGCTCCAGAGTGAGGGTGTAGGGGCCAGGACATGCCTAAAAATCCTTTCTTAGTGCTAATGCTCCATCCACACTGGCCCTGTCTCACTGTCACTATCCCTGCTGCGCTGGAGCCAGTGGTGCCAATGGCAGGCACACAGCAGGAGTTCATAGCAGTAACAGTGCTTTCTGGGAATGTGTGCAGCCCAACCATGGAAGTGCTGAGCTATCACCAACAGCAGCACTCCAGCTCTTCCTGAGCAAGAACCAGTTGACTTTTATGTGGGCAAAGGAAATGCAGAAGGGTAGAATAAACAGTACAAAAGGCAAATGTCTTTTGTGGCATCACCGCATTTGTGCAGATCAACATTACTGGCGGTGTCAGATTAGTCTTTCTATGTAAGAAACCTCACTGAAACAAAACTCAGTTGCAAAAGTAGACTATGTACTGAAAATTAGGTCTCTTAAATAATTAAAACCACAGGCTGTGCTTCTCAAAGGCCTCCCACATCATCCTCATGTCTCCTCATACTGTGTACCACAAATCTTTGATTTCAGAAGCCAGATAATTTATCTATAAACCTAAACAAAACCTTCACGTGCTTTGTATTCATTGCAACCTGCACCCCATGCCAGGCCCATGGAAGCGATGAATGAAGCTTTCGGTCACAGGATGAAACAAGAGCTGACACTGAGTCAGCTCTCACTGCAGCACCTTTCCAGAACAGAGACCACAGCAGTGAACCTGGCTGCAAGCCTCCTGCCAGCCCCTTCTGGACACAGCTTTCTGCAAGCCACACACAGAATGTGTGTGTCACACATCACATGAGGTGAGAGAGGGTTGCAAGGCTTGGCCAGCAGGTTAGCTACCTTCTGTAAGGATTTATTGTATTATTTGTAGAGGATTAATTCAGAAACGTTGGCGTGTTTTTATGCTTGTTTCCAAAATCCCTCAGTATGAGGTTCTAAGTAAGACCATTTCAAGTGGGAGTAACAGCTGAGCAAAGCAATAAGCCTTTAAAGCAACTGGCTAGGTGTTGGAAATAACTTACAGTTGAAGTTCTTGGCCTGGTTTAATATTCCAAGTATTCGATTCCATTTATCAAAATCCCAAAGCCACTAGGAAAGTAGGAGAATTAAACTTTTTAGGCATTTTTTCATCAAAAGAAGGCTAACAGATTATTTACTTGTTACTCAAGGTTTCTCTAATGAAACAAGCAAACCAGCAGTAAAATACTACTCATCATTTATTCACCACCACCTTTTGAAGCAGTGTTCTATAATGCAGACCCAACTATATTTGTTAACTCTTCATGTGAAGTGCTTTAACGTTATCATGTTTTACATAGCAGTTTGAAAAAGGAGCTCAACTGTGTCATGACTGAATATTTAAGACATTTTAAAGCTGCTTTTATGAAGCATAACTTCTTGCTAGAACTGCTCTCTTTTATATAGCTTTCAATACCCTTACTACTACAACTATCATTTGCCTTTGTAATCTCGGAAGTTGATATGGCTTCTGATATTGCCTTAATATTCAAAACCTTTCAATAAAATTTAAACCCTATTTGAAAGTCTTTTACAGAATCATCCTTAACAGTTCTCTCCCCAGGCATTAACAGAGACAGAATAGTCATTTGGTGTTCAAATCTGTTAAAAATAGTACTTAGAAGAGGCAGTATCTACAATTCCTTATGCAACTCTGGAATTTCTTCATTAGACCTACAACTCTATTTCTCATTCCATTAGCTTTCCCCAGCAGACAGGAACTCCTATCAGCAGAAGTTTCAAAGTAGTTTGCTCACACATGGGTGTCCTAAAGGATGCTTATGATGCTACCACGTCACTTTTTACTGTGCTTTTTAAGCCAGCTATGAGCCATAGTTCTATGTACATAAGTACACACCACCACCTAAGTCCAGCCCCCAAAGCATTCCTAGAGCTACGTATAAAGATGGGAGCTATTTAATAGCACATCTTTTGATTCTGGTCTGTGCAGAAGAGATTCATTATCAAAATTTTCAAATAAAGAAAAGTTTCCAAGAAATACTTTCAATTCAAAATTCACACAAATATGATGTATATAAAAGATAATAAATATTTATTATATTTACAGCATGTATACATAGGACAAAGTTAAAACCTAAGACATGCCCAAATACTTCAATTCATTATTATTTTTTTCATGACTGAGCCGGTCAGTAGGTTTATGGGATATCCGTAGGCACCTTTAGGAGTTCCTCTACTTCTTCTTGTAAAGCTTCAGCTTTTTCAGTCAGCAGCATCTGTAATAGCAATCAAACAATTAGAAAATTAAGACAATCATTTGCGATACTGTTAGGATTAAACATTAGTGTTCCTTTCCAGGTTTGTATCTGGTCTTGAAAAATGAATTGAAACAATGCTCACAGGACTGCAGCACTCCAAGATCTAATATCTTCTTATGTATTATGCCAAGACCTTGTACTGTTCACTGTTCCAGATAAGCTACCAGAACATTTCTGGTCTTTGTTTCTCTAATGAAGAGAACTCTTTACGACCCCCCCCACAGAAAAAGAATTGGTTTAAGTAGTTTCTATTTGCCAATCATTTAAGTGCATCATGGGCTGTAGTCGCTGAATTCACCCCCACTGTAATCATCTTAGATAAATAATGTGGTTAAGAAAATGAACTCACTAGATTAATACTGATTACTGTTGCCACTGCAAATATTCACAAATGCCTTTATTTCTAAACTGAATCTTCCACTTTCTTTTAATGTTATTCAAATATTCATTTTTGAAACTTTGAATTCCTCAAGTAGTTTCTTTTAACATACTTGCTTACCTTTGCAGATGAAACCATTTGTTTGGCTTGACGTCGTGACAAATGCTCGATCGTCTTCACCAGAGTTTCTGGGTTTGCATTAGCTAAGTGTGCTAAAGTTTTGTACCCTGCATTATAGAGCTGTTTAGCTCGTGCCTGTAAGACAGAAGTTGTGTCAGGTTATTTTAAGAGGCAATAAGAATCCTCAATCCACCTCAGACATTTATATATATTTTTTTAATAGTGATCCAGGTTCCCTTGGATTCACCTTTCCAAGAACAGCAAGCCTCATACGAACTGGCACTAGCAATTCAGAGGTACTGACTTAAACCTGAAAAACCTTACACAGTTCTAAGTAAACCAGGCATCATTACTTCCTCTGCACCTGCACAGTACTGTGTCTGCCACCCTCATTTCTCTTTTGTCACGTTTTCTGCATTTGCTGTCACTGACACAAATCACTGCCTTATCTTCTTTAGAAGATATAAATGAAATGAGAGCTTGTTGTGCCTGAAAAGTGTTGCCCCTATTTTTCTGCAACTTTTAATACCACCTCATGAGCTTCCATAGCACTCCAGATAAGACTGCACTTTGCAGCTTAGAGCTTATTAATATTTTTTTTGCTTTACTCAATTGTATCTTTTCCTCTAGTTTTACACCAAGTCATGGCTGTTAGCTCACAAGGACAGGAGAGATTCTCTGGAATTTGACAGCTGAAATCAGCATGGGAGTACGTGTGGCCTGCTTCTCTTTACGAGGCTTGGTCCTGTTGTGGTATAAGAATGCAATGCAGCCCAACAGTAATTACTGTATACAGTCTTTTTGGAGATGTTTCTTTTGCAAAACTTACAGTGATTGAACTTGTATACAAAGTTTAAGTCAAATGCATTTCTAGGCTGGTTTTTAAAGCATTTGGTAACGCCAAAGCTCTAACTGCCTGAGTAATAATTCCTATCAGATGGAAAAGTGGTACACTGCTGTATGGGAACTGCTGAACCACAGCCTGAACCTCTGACTGATCACCTGAGGCAAGCACTCAGTCAGCTGCCACAGCACAGGTGAAGGCAATTCAGCTGTGTGACCGGAAGGGGTGGCACCATTTAAGGGCTGCCTGCCACTGAGGAAGGATCTCTTCTGGAGGTTGCTCTCTGTGGAGTTTCTTGTGAGTCTACAATACTGGTGAGTACTTTTCACTTATCTCTAATTGTCTTTCCCATTGTGATAATCTTAACAGCTTAGCTTCTCTATATACTATATAACATCTGTATGCTTACTGATCATACAACTACCATCATGTATTTGGTCAATCACACTTTTTTTTCTCCTATTGTTAAGGCACCAAGGAATAGGAAATCTAATCTGATGGCATGTATACACATAGTACAAGTATCCAACAGAAAAGCTTACAAACAACACATGAGTACTTAGTGATGTGAAGTGTCATAATTCACAAAAAAAAAAAACCATTAAATGCCAGCAGACCTCTTCTGTACTGTTCTGTAGCTGTATGCACAATATGACTGATAGCTCAGATCCTGCCCTTGCTAATAACTAACAGAGAAATCATAGTTTGCTCTTTAGCAACTCAAAATTCTAAGGACGTTTTCTCTTCTACTATGGTAAGCCAAATATTGATTCTATCAGTTTCCTACACACAAAACTATGTAAATCGTGCCTGTTCAAGATGTCAGTATCTGCTAGAAGTACCAGCTGTCGGTATGATTTTAATGGTTTTAATTATTGTTTAAAAGCACCTTGATGAGAGCAATGTATTTCAAGAACAATCTGTAACTTCAGTAGAATCATGCTGTTCAGACTCTTCTTGCCCTTAAAGGCTACAAGCCATGGAATGAAGACCTTTCTTCTCCCTTTATACCAAATTCAGGCCATTTCATACAAAATGCATCAAGGTGTAAGTCTCCATAGCTTTAACTTTTCAGTGTAAAAACTCACTGCCACCTATCTGCTGACAACGTGATTTCTACAGTATGCTGGAATAGAAAAGACACATCCTTTTCAAAGGAGGTTCACTCACAATCCTGCACTCAGTTCCCACAGTATCTTAATGCTTGAATAGGAGCCCTCAGAAACTAGTCACATCTCTCATTTGAAATACATGCACCACCATTAGTGATACTAGAAGCTTATGTTCCCTGTTTAACTTCCCGTAGTTCTGTGATAATCTTCTAACTTAATCTCAAAATAAACTTGACCTGGGCTGTGTTTTACAGTTGAGCACAAAGCTCTAAATTGGTATGCAAATGCAGTGCCTTCACTATTGCTGCAGCAGCAACTGGAAGGAGAATATGACTGGCTCCAGCTCGCATTCCCCCAACAGTCCCTGACATAACAGACTGTTGCGAGGTATTCCTACGATGCCAGATTTGGAATAAAATCTAGCTTGGTCTTCCAGAGATACTTTAGTGATAATAACACTTAGCACAAAAGTTTGCCTTTGTCCAATTGTTGAAGATAGGTTTACTTACCTCTAGAACCCCTGCTACCTCCATCAGTGGAATGAGCTCTGTCTTAACACAGTATGTCAAGCGCTTGGTAAGTTCTGTCAGCAGGGCTTTATAAACCCAAAATTCCTCCAGTTCCTGCAGAGACAAGGACAATTAGAAGTCAAAGTAAAAGGCAGTAAAAAAGACAGTAGGAAAACTCTTCTTGCTATTCTTACAGCTTGTTGCAGAGTTGCATCTGGCGCTCCTCAACTAAATCTGGAATGGTTAAGAAACAACCAAGACAGCTCTTTTCTCACAGTGACATTCCATCACCAGAAGGCCTCATCTCACAAAGGTAAGCTCATAATTTTCCATCAACTGCACTTAATGATACTGATCAGTGACCTCTAAAGTAGGTATTCTTGTATTCTCTGTCCATCAAGCTTACTGTTAACACAAGAAATATGCTTTGTACTGGCATTCTTTTCTTGACAATGTATAGTTACGCACAGGAGAGGTGAAATGCAATGTATGCATTGAATTTAACATAACAGAAGAAGACTTCAAGTTTTGCAAAGCCAATCAAGAGAAGATACTAGGAGATATTTAGTACACTACCTCACAGAAATGCAGAACACAAGAAGCAAATGAGGCAGCAGATGTAAGGAGATTCTGCACGTAACCTCGGGACATGTTGAATTTCTCTGAGACGCTCCATATGTTGGTCTCTTTCAGTAGGGCATACAGGACAAATGACAGGTACAGCCTGTTCACAACAGCAGTGTCCACATTCTAGGAATAAAACAAGTTAGAACTCACTACCCCCTATGAAATTCACAATTTTCTGCTCATTCTTCAAGGATTAAGTCTTTACGTCCCTGTTCCTTCACATCTCTAATATAATCTAATATGTTAGACCCTAATACATTAAACATTATGAAAAACATAAGAAAGTTAATGAGTAAAAGAAGAGTAATAATTAAATACTTTCAGGAAAGTTATCCAGCATTTTTAAACAGTTGAATTACAAGACTACACTGTTGTCTTAGGTGTAAGAAATCTCCAGCCTACCTTTCTGATGGCTTGACCAGAAGCCTTTTTTGCAATAAAACTCTCAGGTACTCCTACCATATCTGCTACTTTTTGCTCTGCTGAACTCAGCTGGTTGAACTAAAGGAAGATTGATTACAGTCAAAATCATTTCTTCATTACAATTAATTAGAAATTAAATGTTACAAATCATAATAGCTCTAGACAATGTATATTTAACTCTAAAAAGTAATTCACATCACATTTGTTTAATACACACACCACCTGCAGGCAAATAGCTAATTTTGCTTTCCCTGCTCCTCCACAAATAAGAAACTAACATACTTTTTCACCTTTAACTCAACTGGTTTAAAGCCACATACACCAGAAGTTTAGCAGCTGAATACATCTGTATATGTGTAGAAAGGGTGTGTTTTTTTTTTAAATGCATACACAGCTTAATTATTAAGGTGCACACAGCATCACATTTCTCACCTTGTCTGGTAATGACAGTTATCTATATAAAATTCAAGATGAATTAATTAAAAACCACAAACTACCAGTAGCTTTTCTACGTGCTCTAGTATTTTCTTCCAAGTCTTGTTATTTACTTAAACACATCTGGAATTTAAGTTCTTCCCTGTCAGATAGTGATTAATGCTAGTATGGAGTTATATAAAAAACAGATCTGGTTCAGTTTCAGCAAATATTTCAAAAATAAGAAGCTCCATGACCAACAAACAATTTTTTTTTCCTGTACTCCATGCTTGAGCTTGCAGAACAACTCTTCAGGATAATTTCATACAAAATTCAGACAACTATTTCTTATGAAATATGTTGTTGAAACCAGAAGTCTGCTACTGAAAACTGTGCTTTTAAATATCTGTATCTAATATTTGAATACTAGGCTGACTTCTCTGCAGTCAGATCTGCAGCTTCTTTACCTGTCAAACTGTTGAGTACAAACCCGGTTATACAGACTTTAGTGCCGTTGTGCTGCTGTTTCTCAGTAAGAGGACAAAATATCAGTGCACAACACAAATTAAGTTCTTGAGGTAAAGAAAAGCACTTCTGCCCTATGATTGAAAACATTAACATCTTTACCTTTTCATCAAAGCATTATTGTACTAGTTATGTTCTGTATGTATAAACACACTCAATCCACTAAGCAGCATTAGTATATGCCCCAATCAAACATTGAAATGCAGATCTCACCTGCCTCAAGTATATCATCCAATCTGGGCTGCAGTTGGAAACCATGTCATATGGAGTAGCTAAATAGAGAAGATGAAGACTGCTCTCAAGAACCAGCCCTTCCAAGCCTTTCCTCAGTTCTTTGTAAAGAAGATCACAGTACGACACATCTATAGAGCCTAAAATAAGCAGACAATGCACAGCAATTTTAGGTAGGCATACAGAGTTTAGTGCAACAGATTCTCACATGAAGTCATCATTTTATTTTTTCCAGGAAAGTTTGTTGGTAGTGCAATCTTAATCCAAGAGGAAAGCGTAGCCCAAATAATCATTGTTATCTATCATTATTGGCAAAAAGGAACTGCAAAAAGTCTGCGAGCACTGGTTTCCACATGCATTTTGTGTGCTTCTGGAACGTTTGAATTATCTTCTTTTGAAGAAACTCTTGTATGAAACTGAGAGATGGCTTCAGCCTGTAAAATACAAGTGCTTTCCTTGTCCTACATCTTTATGCTATGAGATGAAAAAAAATTGTACTTTCTGGTTGTATGGGAACTTTTGATCATGGCCTGAACCTCTGCTTGACCACCTGAGACAAGCAATGAGTCAGCTGCAGGAGCACAGGTGAAGGCAATTCACTTGTGCTACCAGGAGGGGATGCAGCCTGGCTCCACCTCTCTTAGACCCCTCTTAAGGACTGACTGCTACTGAGGAAGGATGTGTCTGGAGGTCGCTCCTTGAGGAGTTTACTGTGAGCCTACAACACTGGTGAGCATTTTCATTTATTTTGATATCTTTCCACTGTGATAATCTTGCTAAGCCTGACATCTTATTGATGTTAGGCTTATACTTATTGATCCTACATCTTATCAAGCCTAACCTCTGTATACTTACTGACCATACACTGGTATACTTTTTACATTAGATTTGGACCACATGTAATATTACTTCCTTTCCCCATTAGTCTCTTAATAGGCATTGTGAGTAACATTATTTTTTAGCCTACTTGTAGAGATTGTGAATAATTTTCATTACAAACACCAAATTAAGTCATTAATTTTAATACAGTTCTATTTTGAGTCATCTTGTGATTCATGTTGTTAAGATTCATACCTGTGACGTTCAGTCACACAATGCTTACTCGTTCTTAATTTCAGTCCAACACATTATTTAGTAACTAAACTAGCACTGGGCAAGCTTTCTTTTTTTTAATTGCCTTTTCAAAGAGAAGCAAGCCACATTAAATGAAGGTAAGGCTGAGATGAAAGGGCTTGTTGAAGAATAAGATTAATCTTACCTTTATATGTAGCTTTACCCAACAGTGTGATTGTTAGTGTACTTTTGGAATTTTGATCCTTTTCCATTATTTTTCCTTTTAAGAGCCCCTTTTCTATTAGATTTTCTAGTTCATCTCTAACAATCTCTGAGAGGCTCTTCTCTTTCAACAGCAGCTGCTGCTGGACACCCAGCAATGTATGGCACATAAAACTGTACACTTCCTCTTGGGTAACTGCAATCTGCATAAGATTTGGAAGCAATTAGATGTTTAAATGTCATCACACAAAAAAGTGCATGCTATTCAAAACAGTTACTCAGACTATCATTTAAGTTGTTTATAGAGAGCTAAGTGACAAATAGAATAGACAGCTGATCACTGATCTGATGGGACAGCATGTCCATTTCTTTATTATCCTGGCTGTTCTATTATGTTCATTTGTTTAGACTGTTGCTAGTTTTTATTGGTAGAATCTAGCATCAGAAAATGAAGTACTAAGACACTGGAGAACGTAGACATAATTTTGGTCTTGTCCACGCTAGAAAAGCATCATGTTATGTCATTGCTTTTTAAGTGAGGAAAATATTATTCAGTTTTTCACTTCCTATTTGAAGGGAAGCTGTGCTGAACTTAGCTAAGTTCAACTGTTAAAAATATCTGGTTTTCCTACAGAATCAAGTAATACAGTATATTTGCATCCCCCAAACACTTTAACTGCTCATAATACTTAACTAATACCTTCAATCCAACCAATGATAGCAACAGGTACTGCATTCCCTTGGTGAACTCTGGCAGAAGATTGCTGTAACAATTCTCCAAAGGACTGGTTATTAAATCCCGAACCTAAAAGGTCCCAAGAAATATATTGGTACAGAAAAATATTTAGGGAATAGTTTTAAGCTGTTCTGAAGTACTGACACTTTGTTTCTAAGCAGAATCACAAGTATCTGTAAACATCAAGCATTTATAGCTAATGCCTGAAAACAATCCATGTATGACTAAAGCAATTAACTGGTATTTTGTAAGTCAGTTACCTCAAACAAATTCTACAGAGATCAGGCTAATGACCTCATCTACTCTTCTTTATCTCACCAACTTAATCCAATGACTCAAATCACCAACAGCTTCATAAAAGTTACCAAAGGTTTGTCTTTTTCCTGCACTATGAGAATACTTTCACCAGCACTGTCAATACCAGCTCGACCAGCTCTGCCAATCATTTGTTTATATTGATTCTTCTTCAGGAACTCACTAGCAACATAAGGGGCTCTTAAAATCACCCTGTAAAAAGAAATCATTGGTAAGTTGTGCTTAATATTAAAATTACTGTAGTTGCAATATCATAAAAATGCATTCTCTAGGTATGCTTCATGCTTTGCAACTTAGATAAGCAACATTGTACTTGTTTTGTTGAACACTTTTGGAAACATCTAACACCTTGAAGTCTAAATCATAATCCATTTTAATTGCTGCAGAGCCTTTGTATTAGTCAAACACAAACAATGTTGACACTAAGTCAGTAATGCTAAAAACAGACCACATTTCTCTGTTAGGAAAATAAAGTTCTCTCTCCTCAGATGTGTTACTCAAACACAGACACACAAAACTGGATTCTAAGCAAACAGTCTGGTCTTGAAGACTGGGGCAAACTGTACTATCAATACCTGTGTAATGAGTGCTAGCACATTATTCTGGTAAAATGTTTAAACATCTTCTCCTTATAAAACAATTTTTGGATTTAAACATTCTTGTAAAAGCATTTAAAAAGCATCATCGCTTGCTCGTTATTACTGAACACTGAAGAAATTTCTCAATATAGTAGAAATTCCTTCATCTGTTCAGGAAAATGTTCCTCAACTGTGCATTCTGAGAGACTTGTAACTGACATGTTTTTCCTAGAATTAAAACTGCAAAGTTATCATCTGTCCTAAGCTCACTGTGTTAAATTACTTCCTCCTGAAATTTCCAAGTAACAGCTGAAAGATATTTAGAGTTCTGATATTTCCATTTAAGGTTTATTATTATTTACAATGCAAGAATGAAACAATGTAATATTTTTGGTTAACTTACCTTCTTGCTGGCAGGTTAACACCAGCAGCTAATGTAGCTGTGCAAGCAAGAAGACACAGGACACCCTTAGAATATGCTTCTTCTATACTCTTTCTTTCATCATTTGTCAGGCCACTATGGTGATAGGCAACACCAAAAGGAATTGTTTGCCTCAGAACAGGACAGATGCTTCCATTTCCAATGTCCTTTAGGTTCTTAATTAGGTCCTGTTTCTCTTTCTCCCTGTGAGCTCTGAATTCTCTTTGAGAACAAAAAACATTTCTTCAGACTTTGATCAATTAATAATCACTTTAAAAAATTAAGGCAGACATCTTCTACATTTCTCTCCATTATCTGTTCCTGTAACTAAATATGTGATAAAGATTTGGATAAGGATTTGTTTCTGATAACTTCAAAACAGTAATACACAGGTAAAGACTGAAGTCACCCACAACTGATTATTTTTTTTTTTTTTGTTCTTGTTTGGAAGCATGGGTACAGAAGGCATCAGATATTGATTAGGTGTGTATCAGGCGCATTGAAGACAAGAGAGAAGGTCAATATCAGCTAATAGCAAAGTTTATAGACACTAAAATTGGTTCTGAGATTGGGAATTTGAACAATCAATGTAATTTCTTCCTACATGCTATTTAAACTAGACTATAATTATATTAAATCAGACTTTTATCCAGTCAAACAAATCTCAACTTCTTTTATATGTGAAGCCTAGTTTAGTGTTTACATCCTCTAAGGAGAGAATACTTGGTACTTCCATAGTCAACTAATGACATACATGACCAAATACAGGGCTATAGAGAAAATGCCTTAAGTAGCTTGTGGAAATAAGTGCCAATAAGATTAAGTGGTTTTTCTTTTTTTTTTTTTTTTTTTTGTATACCCTTCTCTTACTATGTTTTTTAAATTTATTTGTCCTCTATTTGTAAAATCTGCTGAAAAAAGCTTGTAAAACAGTTTACTAATAAGCCCTCAAAGGAGGGCGACAAAGCTGGTGAGGGGTCTGGAACACAGGGCTTATGAGGAGAGGCTGAAGGAGCTGGGAATGTTCAGCCTGGAGAAGAGGAGGCTCAGGGGAGACCTCATTGCTCTCTATAACTTCCTGAAGGGAGGCTGTAGTGAGCTGGGGGTCGGCCTCTTCTCTCGTGTCATTAGTGATAGGACCAGGGGGAATGGCTTCAAGCTACGGCAGGGGAGATTCAGGCTGGACATGAGGAAGTATTACTTTTCAGAAAGGGTGGTCAGGCACTGGAACGGACTGCCCAGGGAGGTGGTGGAGTCACCGACCCTGGGGGTGTTCAAGGAAAGACTGGATGTTGTATTGAGGGACATGGTTTAGTAGGAGCTATTGGGAATAGGTGAACGGTTGGACTGGATGATCTTTTAGGTCTTTTCCAACCTTGGTGATTCTATGATTCTATGATTCTAATTTTCTATAATACATCCAGTTAATAGCTTCATGTAATTCTGTATATTCAAAGTACACCTCATCACCCAGAAAAAGCCACTTCCAAACTAGTTAAGATAAACCCCGAGTTCTAGCCAATAATTTCATATATAATAAAAAAAACATGAGGTAAAACATACTTGTTCAGATACTTGCAAACCATTGTAGCCACGTTTTCACAGTTCTTTTTAGTGGGACAAAAGATTAGGCAGGAATATTTTGGAATAACTTCAGTAACCAGTGCAACGATGTGGTCGGGATCTGCTTTCTCCAGGCTACTGGAATACTATCAACAGATTGACAAACATTATTTTTCAAACATATAATTTAATTCTTAAACTCAGCAAGTACTCAGTACATGTTCTCTGCCTTCCCTAGGGCATTCTCCATTTGTTTTAAGGTGACTTAAACAAGAATTTGTAGGATGAACTTCTCCCAACCAAGCACTTTACAGTTTACCAAAAGATTCAGCTCAGAATATCCATATAAAAATCAACACTCTTCTTCCTCCTCCTTAATATCTTTACCTGTAGTGTTACAGTAGCAATGCTGCTTGTGCAAGTGGATGACGGTGTACTGCCACCAATCTTAACATTGAAGTGAATCCAAATAAGACTGTAATAAGCTTATAACAATGAACATATGTTCTGTTATTTAAAAGTGAGAACGTATGTTCTGTTACTTAAAAGTGATAAACAGCTGAGAAAATCTACCCAAAGACTTGCAGCAGTTAGTTCTATGGAATTTTCAAGCCCTTTACTACCCATGGGAGAATACTGAAAAGAAAACAGACCAACCCCACTTTCTACTAAGAGCAGTACAAATGTTAAAATAGAGTTAAATATCTGATATTTAAAGGACCTTTTTCCTCTTCTTAAGTTTGCTATTGTCTTTGTTATATGCATTACAAGTCAACTATGTTATTTCTTCTGTGAAAGCACTGCAGACATCAACAAATAATGATGTTTAATAATCATAGTTCAAAGAAACTTACATCTTACCTTAAAATTAAGGAGACGTGAAAAAGTAAAGCCATTTTCTGCTTTGCTGTCAACTTCATAAATTGTATCTCTTATCTTTATGTATTCCTTTAACTCTACCTAGATTGATTTAAGCCAGAAACAGAAATAATAGTCAAATTACCAAGATGAAGCCATTAATAATATGTAGCTGTTTTTTTAGTAACCATCATGCTTCCCTTAAATACATGCATGCAGTCTTTAAAAACAGATCTAATTATCTGCTCTGGCAAAATAAGTGCCTAATTAGCTAAGAATATGCATCACTGTTCATAAACAGTTCTCATGATTGAAGACCACCAGCTCAGATTCCACATGCATTACATAAACAATAATGATTTATCACTATTTCATATATGTAAGTATATGTACGTACACAATACACTGTGTGGCAAATCATGAAAGAAGTTTGTTAGTACCATTACAAGTCTTACCATGCATACTGCTTTGATTTTTAAAACATTGTGAAAGTAAACACGTGGCCCATGTTAAAAGTCTGAACAGGGCTGCTATAATTTTAAAGCCAGCAGCAATATTGACTGTTTTACAATATTTTGTGTACATACCGGTCTGAAATTTTTAGTATAGTACTCTGCTTGCAGGAACTTCTGCAGGTCTTCAACATTATTTAAAGTTGCACTCATTCCAACAATGTGTGTGTTTGCTGTAAAAACAAGTTTTACAGAATTTATTTCCACGGTCACCATTTTAAATGCTTTGCTCAATACTTAACTCAAAGGCCTGCTTATCCATTATTAGCATTTACTTTTAAGTGCCAAATCAGCAGTTTTCATGGGGATGTAGCTAAGAAATATTGCCTGAGATGTAAACATAAGAAAGGAAGTCTTCTCTGTGGAGATGTTTAATTGCAGTGGCTAAGGGGCTCCTATGAAGAAATGAAAGATGTTTGACAATGCACAGAATTGCTCAGAAAAATATCAAGAAATCTTCAAGAACACTCAGCCCATCCTTATGAGGTTAAACAACCCAAGCAATCAACACATTTTCCAAAAGCAGCCAAGGCAGCACAGATCTAGAAAGCAAAAAGGTGATCTCTCTCTACAGGAGATCATAGAACGATAATTTAGAGACTGACTTACTACTAGCATGAAGTATTTTTGCAAGAGTCATTTCTAGTGTTGCTCCACGACTTCCCTCACCAATCATATGCAACTGCAGACCAGAAGAGAAAGCAACCAAGAGTTACTACTGGGTTACAAATGTTCCCAGAAATACAACCGTTTATTTCTAAGTAATTCTGAGTTGAGTGTCTGTCAAGACTCTGTCTAGAGATCTACTTGGTAAACTGACGTGCTAAGCTTCTTCTCTAAGTATTGACTTAATTAATATGTATTTAAGAACTGCAGGACAAAAGATCTAAGAGTACAAGCAGCTAAAATTTGCATTGCATTTAATTAGATCACAAGTGTCATGGAAATAGGATCTCTTGCAAGTACAGAATTAGCATGGAGATGAAGCAACCTAAACTTACCCTGTTCAACTTATTTTTAAGAAACACTTGTTAGGGATCCTAAACAAATCTTTCCTTAGCAGGCAGGTGCTACCAGAAAAAGCCCAACTTATTTATTAAGCCTCTTCACATTTAGAGAAGTTGTGTTTAACTAAGGCCAGCCTGGAGCATTCCAGGAGTTGAACATGTGATTTCACATATTACACATGTGATTCAATCCCACAGTGAACCTTTAGCAGTACAACTCAGTCACATTATTAAAAAGCAGAGTAACAGGTAATTCTCAGTGAAATGTGACTTCATTTTCCCTGCAGTATACCAGCATTCAGATGCCAGGATACCAAATTCAGGCACGCAACATGCATATGCAAAAACATGTTCTATGCAACTCAGTATCACTTTTTAATTTTTGTTACTTTGTAGAGCCAAGCTAAGAAACAGTTAATTTACAATTAACCACTAACACAATAGATCTGTTAACGCAGTCTCTGTGACAAAGAATACTTCAGTTGATGAATAAAAATAACATTAATCATAACAGGCATTGGTTACAGATCAGTTTCCTGATCCCAAAGTACCAATGAAGTAATGAAGTTATACTACTTGTGACATGGTAAGCCTTGGAAACTAAACCAATGAAATAAACTAAAGCTATTTATGGGAAAATCTGGTGACCTACCTCATCTACTACAACTAAACCGAGGTCACTGATTCTATCTGTTTCAATTAAAGAATTCACAAGAGCATGTCCTTTTTCTATGGTAGCGATATAAAGTGACTTTTTTATTCTTCTCTTGATGGGTGGAAATCTTCCCTTACTTCCTGCGTATTCTTCAACCAGGAAACCTAATTCTATCCCAAAGCTTGATAAACCCCAAACCTGTTAAAAAAAAAAAAAAAAAAAAAAAGCAATGTCAGCTGGAAAACAAACTTGTGCTCATTCTGAATTTCAGACCTGTCTCAATTACTCAATCACGCATGTAACCTACCCGTATCTAAATCAATTGCATAATGAATACGTTCCCCAGTTGAAAAGCAAAAGCATTCACAAACTTTATCAAACTGTTCTCTAACTTTATTTGGATTTAGTCAGAGTAGCATATGTTTTTATTACATTGGTACTTTGCCAGAAGGGATGACAGCAAAAGGCACTGATATAAGAACAAAAATACGGGTGACGCTGCAGAAGGCTGTCATTTCAAGAATTTCTTATAACTCAGCATATTGAAGTGATAACCACAATATTTTACTAGAATAAAATTGAATCTTAGAGCAGCGCTGAAAGGCAAAGCAACTCATTTCCCAAAATGTTTTTATGAAAAACACAGTTACCTAATGCTACTGCTAAACCCAGTCATGTAACAAGGCACATTGCAGAAGATGCACAATACCAGGAACTTTCCAGACCTTTTCTTGGACAATGGCAACATAGGGCAGGATCATCAGAACATCCTTCTGCCTGCAGAGTAATTCTTGGAGAATTAAAATTTCAGCAACAAGTGTTTTTCCACCACTGGTTGGTAACGAGTAAATCAAATTCTTCCTCTGCTGTAGAGATTTTAATGTTAAGCAATCATGCTGCCATTCTGCAAAATTAAAAAAGAATTATTGCCAATCCTTTTAAGGATATGCTCGTCCCCCACAAGACTCTTTGCCTATGCTGTATAAAACTCATCAATTCAGCATTCAAGAGTTTTCTTCAGTTAAGTGCTACAAGTCTTACCATTTTCTCAGATCTCACAGAAGAAAGTATTCCTGTAAGCCACATCCTCCTCCTCCACACTGCTGAAAAACAATTCTCTTCTGATATAGCTTATTATTATTACCTTAACTTTCTTATGCTTCCTCCTCTGGAGATCCAACACGACTTAGGCTTTTCCCTTAAATGCAACAAGTAGTATTACATTATCCTACTTTTAGATTTGAAAATATTTTAATTTCAATATTTAATTTGCGTAATGGACAGTAATTCAACCATAAACAAGTAACTTTATACCATAATGGATTAAACAGAAAATACTTATACTACAATTGTTTGCTTTGAAGAACCCATAAGTTCTATTACCATAAAGTGTTTCAATGCCCCGAAATTGCCTGAGGAGATGTTTAACTTTACTGGGTAATCCATAAAACGGGCCTATATCAAAAGACGATGATTCAATAGTTTCCCTAGCAACAGAAATCTCTTCAGATAAAATAGCTTCTTTAAGCTGCTTGGTCTTTGAGACCACTGGAGTCTGGGCTTTGGCATTTCCAGTCATAGCATTTTTCAGATGATCTTTAAGACTCACGCTTTTACATGAATCAGACCTAGAGCCTGTGGAAGGTTTTGTGCTTCTGTTCTTGTGTCCAGAGTCAGGACATGGCGATGATGGACTCCGGATTTTGTCCAAGGAGGAATTCTTCCACTCATCCATCTTCTCTGTAGATTTTTGGGATTTCCCTGCAGATTTTTGGGAATGAGAAGAAAGCTCACCCATTTTCTCCAAATACAAAAGTTGTGATGAAGGCAATTCATCGAAAACAGAATCACTGAGGTCTTCATTGGTGTCTCCAGCATCATTTTCATTCATTTGGAAGCCGTAACGTTCATCCACTTGATGCATACTACTATCTTCTGTAGCATGCAAATTACATTGCTTGCTTTGGTTCATTTCTGACTGAAGATTCCCATGTGCAAACTCCCTGGCTGCTTTCATGTCCACACCTTTTTCCTGGGGGTGCTGGTGCTCTGCATCAAGAACTTGAGCCAATAAAGAATCACTTTCATGGAAGCTGTCATAGTCGCCAAACATATCCTCTTCACTATCGTTGTTACACTGTGAAAACAGAACAGTAAGGGAATTAACACTGCAAAGTAACAAGCTGGAAAAACCTCGGCAACCGAAGCATAAAGTGTAATTCATTTAACTGCTCTGCAATTTATCAAGCAATTAATCTGCCTTTTCACTTTGTCAGTTCAACTTTTAATGGAAGGTATATTCGCAAATGAGTGAAATGCGGCACAGAGTCAACGAGCAGCTTTTTCTGAGGTTTCTGATCTCGAACACACCCCCTGCTCAAGTGCTCCCCGCCACCACAGCCTCACTCCGGCCCGCTTCCCCCGTCCCAGCCACCACCTCCGTACCGGGGGCTCGGCCGGGGACCCCTCACCCCCAGCACTGTGTCTCTTGCGAGCCAGCGGCGAGCAGGCGGCCCCGGGCCGTGCAGGGGGGTGGCTCCGTTTGCGAGCGGAGCTGATGCGGCTCCTCCTCCGCACGGCGAGAGCGGGCTCGGCCATGAGGAGGGAGTCGGGACGCGTCAAAGCGGCACCGGGGCTGCGTACATGACGGCCGGCAACGCCACGAGGCACCCAGCCCCAACCGCCGCTTCCGGCACAAGAGCAAAACAAACTGTATCACATGTAAGACGCGCAGCCAATCGCCTGCCCCCACCAGTGCAGGCCGCAGCCCCATTGGCCAGCGGATCGTATTTCCGCTTGGCGGAGCGGCGCGGGGGAAGTTGCGCGCAGAGGGAGGTGGGAGAGGTGAAGATGGCGGCGCTGGCGGTGCGGGGCGGCAGGCTGTGCTGCGGATGGGTGCCTGGTGAGCGGGCTGCGCGTTGCCCTTTGCCGTGCGTCTCTGCGGTGTCTTTAGGCTGCCCTATCGAGCTGCCGCTGATGCTGTTGTCTCTTTGTTGCGCAGCCTTGATGCGGGAGAGGCCTTGTCGTCTTCAGCACCAGCAAGCGGCGGTCGGGTCTGACTTGGTAAGGGTTCCTCACCTGACTGCCAGGTGTGCCATGGCCGCTTCCTGGCAGCTGTACGTGGAGTCCAGTGTCAGTGGGTGAGCTGGTCAAACAACAAAAATGAAAACGAAGATAGCATCTTGTGCTGTGCCTGCTGCTCTCGTGATTGAGAGCTACGTTGCTGTATAGGTTACTGTGTTTATCGCTTCTCACTGTTCCTGAAATCAGCTACTAAGTGTTAATGAGTGCCTATATAAGGTATAGCCTACTACCATGAACGTAACTCTTCCATGCTGTTTCAATAGCTCACACCTTAAAGAAATACTGGTTTGTTTTTTTTTTTTTTTTTTCTGAACTGCAGAATAGTTTCAATTGGAAGGGGCCTCACAGCCTACCCAGCCCCAACCCTTTGCCGTGGGCAGGGTTACTCCCCACCAGCTTAGGCTACCTAGGATCCCATCTGATCTGGTCCTGACTACCTCCAGAGATAAGACATCATGGCCCTGTGCCAGGGCCCTACTGCTCTCTTGAGTAAAGAGCTTCTGTATTATAGCTAATCTAAATCTCCCCTACTTTAGTTTTACATCACTTTACTTGTCCTACTTCTCTCAGCTCATATAAAAAATCAGTCTCCTTGTTTGTATGCAACTATCAAGTGCTGGAAGGCTGTAGTGAGTCTCCCTAGAACCTTCTCCATGCTAAAGAAGCCTAACTTCCTTAACCTGCCTTTGTAAGGAAGGGGCTCCTTTTGGTTTGAAGGCATTCTTTTTCCTGAAGATCTATGTGAAATCAAGCGCAAGGTGACTATTTTCTTGCAAACTTACAAAACATTTTAGCTGTTGTCTAATTACAGCCTATAGAAATGGAGAATCCGTATAAAGAGCCTCCTAAAAAATGTATCTTATGTGGAATAAATGTGGACTACAAGAATGTGCAGGTGAGTGCCTTGAAAATGTAAGTTTATATAAAGCATGTAACGGCTTGGGAACAGAAGTCTGAAGTGAATGATTAATACCAATGTTTAGAGGATCTAAAAACTGAAGTAGTATCAGTGTTTACTGATAAATCTAGTAATGTAACCAGTTACTTCAAATCTGTAGGCCTATTAAATAAAATGTTCAGTTCTAGTTCTACTGTAGTGTGGCTTAAATGATAGGGTATGTGGAAAGTTCTGTAAGAAACTAGTCAAAATATGAAGAAGTTAAAGCTGCTTTTACAAAGCAACCCTTACACTCTTGTCTTTGCTTTCTAATAGCTTCTGTCCCAGTTTGTTTCTCCATACTCTGGCCGCATTTATGGCAGGCATATAACAGGTATGTGGAATGCTACTTAGTGTTTAATGTTGGTGTATTCTACAGTCTAGTTCACTTTAAACAGATATGTTTACAGAACTGGATATTACTGGTTGTGCACATCTCGAAGTGTTCATGTTAATTAGTAGCCTTCATCAAGAAATGAAAATATCTTTTAAGTAATCACTTAATCTTAACCATAAAAAGGTATGTAAGTGTGCATGCCTTTTTGTAAGAAGGCTTTGACAAAGCCAGAACAATTTGTCATTAATAAGACTTCCTCCTTAAACTGATCAGTGAATTACAATTGAAACCAGGAAGCTAAAAATAACTTATTTGTTTAGGCTTGTGTGATAAGAAGCAGAAAGAAATTTCAAAAGCCATAAAAAGAGCTCATATACTTGGTAAGTATTGTTATACTTCATAGTATTTGGTGAGTCACACTCATCCTTTATTTAAAAAGACCCTCCATTTTATTTTCTTACAGGATTTATGCCAGTTATGTTTAAGAACCCATCATTTCTTACAGACCCCAAGATTTGTAATGTTAAGTATTGAGAATAACATACTGTAAAGAAATAAAAATAAAACAAAATCACGCTTAATATTCTCTACTGGTATGATTAGCTGGAATGGTTTTTTGGCTCAAAGCTTGTTCAGTGGCATTTATCTGAGATGTAACCTGTTGAGTAAGCTTTCATGGTTACCATGATCACAGTGATAAGAGAAATACTGGTGGGTGATCAGGAGAAATCTTTTTCAGCTGTTGCTCTTCCTGGGCATTCAATCTGATTTGTGGGGATCCTCACTGAGGAGAGGACCACCATGCAGTCAGTGTGCATACCTAGCAGTCCACTGTGTGACAGCTGTGTGTTCAACTGCTGATTACCAATGGGAGGGGGGTGTGCTATGGATGTGCTGTTGCCCTGATGAACAAAACTTAAGTACCCCCTGAAGGAAGCTCTAAACCACACAAGTGGCCCTTGACAACCAGCTGCTGCCCTGGCAGCCAAAATTCTGCTGTGAAGAGGCTAAAAACCCAAAGAGCTCTGAGGTAGAATGGGTACCCTCTCTGCCAAATTGCAGGTGTGCAGGTCAATGAGATGTCACTGACCAACTTGCTGCCACCCTATGGACCAACATGTGTTATTCTCTGAGAATACGAGTGCATCCCTTAGGGTAGATACTGAGTTGAGAGGATTATCATTCTAGACTGTTTACCCTTGGGGAGTGTAAGGAGTGAACTGATTTATTGTTAATGTTCTTCCCCCTAGACATACAGACCACTAAACTTATCCAGAGGTCTTGCTGAAGATCACTTTTCCCTTCCATTTCAGAAAGAGACAATTAAGTACCAGATAGCTAAGGATAAGTAAAAATATTAAGAACTTTGTTATATATAAACAGCTATTTCTAAGACACATCCGATTTGATGTTCTGCACATCTGCTGAGGAGATGCTCATTGTTGGAGTGGTCCTGAAATCTTCAGTAGGAGCTTGAAGTTCTATCACTGAGGCATCAAGTGAGATTATTGGAATGCTAGCATAGTTTTAAAACCCTGAGATAGAGTATACAGACTTGACTCTGCAAGGCAAAATTAAGGAATGTCATTTAGACTCTGCTTGACTTGGGCCAAACAGGATTTGAGTATTTAAAAATACATCCTTGTAACTTTACAAAAACTCAGTAAGCTCTTTCCATCCCTCTAGTGCAGTAATTTATGTCACTTTAATACGCTGGCAATTGCTTTTTGTACAAATACATCTGGGCAAATCATTAAGTGATCAGAAAGTGGGGGAGTATGAATATTCATTTGTATCTTTGGGATTTTCCAATGCTTCCTCGTCTGTTTCAGTGCTACTCAGTGCAAGCTTTGTTTCTTGGTTGCTGTTGTCTTCATCTTGGTGTAATTCTTGGTCAAGTTGCTGCGATCTTAATTTCTTAAATGATTTTGGTCCTGTTGTGGTGTCTTTGACTTTACGCTTGTTTACTGGTTTTGTTTCAGCTTCAGTGAAGTCCCCTTCCTCTACCATGAGAGTCAATTTGTCCATGATGTTAATATTATGGTCAATCTTACAACAGTTCTTAGAGATCCTTCCTTCGAAGGAAATAATACATGTCTGAAGTCCAGAATTGGGGAAAAATGTTTTCAGTGCCTGACAAAGCAAAACATTCTCCTTTGGTTCTTCTAGGTGATCTTTGTTCCCTCCTGAAAAACAATGGTTACAGACCCTCTTGTGTACTTCCACCAATACTGCTCTGGGTTCCTCAAGTTCACAAGTGTTCTTTTTCCAACAGTGAAATAACTTTGCTGTCTTACCAGTGCTACCATTGGACATAACTTACCTGAAGAGATCTTGTGTTGCTTTTTTCTGTTGATTTCTTCTTTTAAGTGGCTCACCTCTGTTAGGAGTTTCTCTACAGATCGTTCACTGACTTCTACATCAGAGCATATTTTCTGGAAAGAAAAATATCACTTGAGATCAGCTGCATTAACAGAAGTAGATTTTAGTTTTGGCAAAGCCTGTAAAGCTACTGACTTTCTGATATTGGTAACAGTATTAGAAAGCTGAAGTAATGAGGTTGGTTTTTGGAGATGAGAACTTCAGCCTTGTATTGAGTGAGGTTCAATGTCTTTTACTTGTCCTCACCTGCCCAAAAGAGCTAGAGATGATAATTTCCAGAAATAATCCTCTTTAAAGAATTTCTCAGTATGCTTGGATTGATCTTTAAAGTTTAAAGATAAACTTGTATTTGCAGCTGTTATGTAGAGCAAAGAACTTTCTGATCTTGCACTGTACCTCCAACTTGCTGCAGGATTCTAAATGCTTTGCTTGACTGTTTGGTACTGCTGAAAATATCTATGCTGTGGGTATACTCAACTGACCTTCAGCTCCTCCTGCAAGGTGGCATACATCTCATTTATCTTGTGAACCTCCTGTAAGGATCCATCTTCATAAAAGAATTCTGACCTGTGGGGAAAAACTAAATGGTCTAACTGAAAATTGATTCCGGTGGATAGCGATGCTCATTTGAAAGGAACTTCATGAAATAAAGAAGCATTCTAGGTTTTCACTGCTTTGTTTTAGGATTAGCTATTCTTAAGTCAGATCTTCTAAAGCTTATTTTATGTAACTTCAAGAGACCCCTTTAGTGAAGATGGTACTGACTACTGGCTGATGCATAAAATTGTAAGGGGGAAAAAAAAATGACCTGGACCTTTAGTTTGAAGTAAGAAATCTATATGAATTGCTCTTGTTAGG